CGATTGGAAATTCATCTAACAGAGGTACGCCGACTTTTGAATTTGTATCAGTGCTCCGAAATTTGTACATCATAGATATTTTACCACGAACAGGCGTAAGTAGTATTATCGCGTGACATTTAAACGACCGTGGAGATTCAAGTGCGAAGTCAGTCGGGGGCCACGTTGTTAGCTGAATAAAGCGCAAGCTCGTTATTCAGCTACGCTACACGTAAGAACAGTGTCAGCAGTAGCAGGAAGTACTCGGAGGCGATGTGTCGCGCTCGTGGCATCGTAACACTCTTTGGTGAGGTAGCAGTGATTTATCCACGCTGGTCTCCATCCTGCGCATCACCCGGTCCAAAAGTATCTCCACGGCGCGTGCCACGTTCTGGCCCGTGGCTGCACTCGTTTCCAAATAGACCAAGCTGAGGAGTATAACACATTCAGATTCTTTATCTGTGATTCTTTGCAGTTCACACTGTTTCAGGCTTCCATTGTGTGTTTCAAACAATCTCACGATATCATACATATCGTAAATCGTAGCGTAGCGAATTTACACACAGACATCTCTGGAAGTTTCGAATAGTATAAACTGCAATTTCGTCCTATGTAATTATCTCTGATTATACCGATGAAACAACGAACGAAACGACAACTGAAGGTTCAATAAAACGACTGGACTATATACTAATCGGACGAGTGGAACTGGTTTCGGGAATTGTTATGAGAGAAGAACGTGTGTAACTCTGGAAATTTATATTCTATTTGGTTTTCGGAAGGGGAAGTGAAAAAGGAAGACGAATGGAACAACACTGGATTAATCGCAGTGGTTGATAAGGAACGTAATAAATGACGTGTACTATGTTATTTACCCATGCTTCTCCGCTAATTCCCGTGCCTTATGTTCACTAACAACACGTTTGTCTTCGAGATCGGATTTGTTTCCACAGAGAATTATGTCTGGATCTTCGCAATATGCGTGGGTCTACATGTATACAGACATGAATTAACGATCAAACAAAGGAATCGAGATTCAACGAGAAACAGAAACGTGCCACGATGCAAAATACAAAGAGTTTGCAACTAAATCTGATAATGAAACAAACTCTAATCCATATTCTTTTACGATAACATATTTGGAAAAAAAGACAACACAGTAAATATATGAACAAACTTGTTGAAAACTCTACTCCTTTCAATATACATTAACGCATAATGCACGATACTGTTGTATTTTTTCAATTAGAGTTTTCTTTCTCTTCAAGGATGAAATTTTCAAAAATTCTTGCCAATTTTTCTAGACAAATCGGTATTCAATATTCGTAACTTAATTACGAATGAACTTCATTAAGTATAAATTTGATAATCAAAAAAAATCGGTAAATTAAGGCACTGTATCCTTTCGATCCTTGCGATATGACACGTAGCACGTTAACGATCATATTAATTTTTGATATACGATTATAAATTAATTGCACAGTGCAAATTTCTTAATTCACTAATTTCTACAGTTAATTGATAAATCCTAGTGATTTTTGATCGAACGATAGTTTGAGTCCTTTACATGCAGATACACAAGAAGTGTATATTAATAAAAAAATACTATTTACTATTATAAACTACCACCACTACTGTCTACAATTATTTCTCAACAAACATGCAAAATAAACATTGTACATTTCATGTTCTCAATTCCCATGCACCATCTATTGATTCTTTCTATTCTAACATTAAACATTTTTGCACTACAGCCTTAATTTACATCATGCGATATACATATGTGAAATCATCATCACACATAAAACCAACAACTATTTTGATATTTCTAATAGATTATCTGCATTCATAGGTAAATTAACTCAAATGATCGTTCATTGCATAATTTTTACATTAATAATGTTAAAAAATAATGAGTACCCTAAGCTGCTCCAGCCAATTTCTTACTTCAAGAAAAGACAGCTCATTGGTCAGATCAAAAATTAGTAAGAAACCCATGGAATCCCGATAAAAGGCTGTAGTTAGACTTCTGAACCTAGATATTAATGACATTGCAGCAATTGCATCAAATTTACCACTTCTCTATTATCAAAAGTAATTGCTAAATCTTATAATTAAATGTTCTATTGTCAAAAGTAATTGCTAAACCTTATAATTAAATGTTTTTTTCATATTACATCAACAGATGTAAGAAATTTTAAATATTTCATAAGGCACACTAAAAGCCTCGTTTGATATGCATCATTACTATAAAGTGCAAGTTCTAAAAGGTATTATTATAGCAAATGTTACCGCTCTTGACCAGCTGTGTCCCACAGCTGCAAATGCACACGTTGAGTTCTGCCATTCGCTGTTTGGTATATCTGTAATAGTTAATGACTCTGGCTTGTAAATGATACCATATGTGTCTTAAAAGCATTTATATATGAATTTATACTTTGACCTACATATACCGAAATGTTTTAAATAAATGAAATTTATGTAAAAATCAACGAGAATAACTTGTTCGTTAAATAATAAATGAAGTAATATAAGTAATAAATGAAGTAATATAAGTAACAAGGTAATCAATAATAATCTCTTACCACACGTTTTTCCTTAAAATCAATGCCAACGGTAGATATAAAACGAGATTCGAACGTGCCATCGGTATATTGATATAGAAAACTAGTTTTGCCAACTCCAGAATTTCCCAAGGCTAAGAATTTAATGAGATAATCGTATTCCATTGTTGCGTGTTAATGATTAACAGGTTGTGACACTTCTATCGCGAATTTTTGTTAAAACAGACACTTCGATACAAAATTTTATCGACCGTTTTTATCATGACTCAAGCTCCGAAAAATATGTGACTTTCGCACGATTGTACGATTATTAATTTCGAGACGATCGCTACAAACTAAGAGACATGTGCGACATTAGACACCTGTTGCCTACGTATACAATTTTCAAAAGGTTCGCGCGTTTCGAAACAAAGCACTCGACATACAATAAAGCTCGAGGTTATGAACTTTACTGTTTCGTAATCGAAAATAAAGAGAGGAAACATGTACAAATCAACACCTTATTGAAAATTAAGGACTATACTGAACCTCGTTCACGTATGACAGGTGTGCATAGAATAACGACACGGAAACTGCTGATAATTACAGTGGTACCAAAATTGACAAAGAAAATTTGGAAGAATATAATTTAATTTGATAAAGTAATTAAAATAATTGTTCTTATATTTTTATTGATCTTTATTCTTTTTAAATGAAGATCAACTTAAACAATCATGAGCATAAAATTATAAACAGGTTATGAATGTAAAAACACACTTTAATTTTTTTATATTTTTACACTCAAACGAATTATGTTTAAATTTACTATCCTCTATTTTCTACATACCACATGCATGTGTGCATGCAAGAAAATATTAATTTTTGTAATATAAAATGTTTAAATAATTTTTAAAATGTTGGCAACTACGGTACGTCGTATCCATATTAAGAACAAAAAAATAAATTTCTTTTTTTATATAAAAATCGATGAACATAACAAAAATTAATGTTAATACTAAGCATTCGTTAATACAGTATGGTTTGTAAAACATATTTATTTTTTTCTATGTAAAATTCTGATCATATTTCCACATAACCTTATAAGAATTACCTTCATTTCTACTTGAAGATCATAATATTAATCACTCAGTTATGAAATATGAACGACATCTCCAACAGTAATAATTCCATTTTCTATAGTCTCTTTAGTTAAATAAATACCAAATCTCATTTTTCCATGAAATTGTTCTGTAAGTGTACGTAGTGGTTCCACTGTCTTTTTACCAGTGAGTTGATCAATGCAAATCATTTGACATCTAGTACATGGTCCAGTTACCTAAATATAACATTCTTTAATAAAAGAACTATGAAATCTCTATTTGTATTTTTCTAAAAACATACCAAAAAGCTATTTTTTCCTATATAAACATGTTTCCATTCTGTTTCTTCAAAGGCTTTACAACCATTTAATATCATATTTCCTCTAAACCTATGTATGATCGTATCTTTTTGAACTTCTTCATTAGATATTTTATCACTAAGCCATAACACACTTGCTTTATTTATTAATAAATATTGAGCTTGACTAGAAAATGATAATTCAGGCTTAATGCTTTCTGCAAAAAAAAAGTGATATATAATGAAACTATTTTTATAATTAAATCTTCATAATTTTGTGTTATAGAGCATACCTTTCTTTTTGTTATCATTATCATTTTGTCTTATAAGCCTCAAATTTGGAAGACCTAATGCTAAACTTAACCATTTAGAAACTTCTGAACCACAATCATTACCTTGTACTTTATGTCCACAAACTCTGCTTTGACATATTGTTTCATTTGTAATGTTTGTAGAACTATTATCTAAAGGAATTTCTATAGTAGACATTCCTAAAATATTTTTCAGTTATTAAATTGATCAGTAGATAGATAAAATAACTGAAATCTTTACCTGGATAATGTAATTGCATGATTCCTTTGTCTTTAAATATTATTGGTTTCAACAAACAAAGATTAACATGTTGCTTTTGTGTTAAAGAAATACCAGAAGATGTAATAATCATCCATTTTCTATCATACTGTAAACCTTTTGAATTTAAATTCCAAGAACCTATTATCTTGTAGGCACCACATGATTTTATTGGATATATGTACAATTGTTCTAAAGTACACTTCTCTTTAATTGAACTAGTATCCATTAGTCTAAAAACTGACGGTTTTACATTTTCTAATGTATTTGTAACTTCATTTGTGTCATCGCGTGCAATATAATTTGTTACATCTTTTGTATTTGCATCATGTTGATTATATTTTTTATGTAAAGCAGTTTTATAATCTAACCACCAATTTGGAATTTTGTTTATTGGTGAACCATCGACAAAACATTTTTTGATCATGAATAATAAAGTTTCAATATCCTTGATTGTAGACATGTATCCGAATGAAACTCTAATAGCACCTGTTGGTTTTCCATTTATCAAATCTGCAGAACCTCCACAAACATATCCAGCCTCATAATTCTGAAGAACTTCTTTATTTGATAATGCTAAATGTCTTTGGCATGCACCAGGATTGCAAAAACAACCAGTTCTTAGATGTATTTTGAACAAAGCTGCCATGTGTAAAATTTCCATGTATCCTATATATTCACCATTGGACCGCATAAGATTAAAGGTAACAATACCCCCTTGTATATCTTGATTATCATAAGCAGTATCAGAGTACAATGTTGCAACTGGTTTCCCATTGCTATGGTGAAGCATTAATAAAGATTTGTATAAAAATTTTGCAAGAGAAAATACATGTTTTGAAATTTTCTCCATTGTAATAAATGATAATATATCAAATCCATATTTCAAAGAAATTATAGAGAGAAATGGTACTGTACCATCTTCAAATCTGCAACAGAATATACAAAAAAAGTAAAAGTCAGTAAAAAGTCAGTAAGTTTAGAGTGATTATTGAATTTATACCTTTGGTGGAAAATTTTTCGTTTTATGTGAAACAACTCAGAGCTCAAAGTAACATCTATGGTACCACCACCATAATAAACTTTTTGAAGTGTACTTGCACTAGTATTTTTTACTAATAATGCACCAATTCCAGTAGGGTAGCCAAACATTTTATAAAAAGATAAACAAACAAAGTCTGGTTTATAGATAGATAAATCTAAGTCATTTGTTGATGCAAAACTAGCAGCATCAAGTAAGATATACCACTTTGTAAATGTATCGAAAACAACACTAGATAAAACTCCATTATGTACTTCTCTAATCCATGTTAAGGGATATTTTAATCCAGAAAAATTACATTGGGCAGAATAAATAAAGAGTGAATTACTTTTGACTGAATTATTCTGTTGTGGATAGAAATCCATAGATTTTGAAGAATTGAAGATTTCAAAAGCATTATCATGAGTCAAACAAGTTATCTTTGCCCCTTTTTTATTAACAATTTCTCTCATACCAAGGACTGAAGTATGATTATCTTGCGTATAAACAAAGTGTCCTGAAACATTTTTTTCATCTTCATTAAAAAGGAACGTATCAGCTATTATCTTCAAGGATGCAGTTGCACTTGATGTGAAAATAATACTGTATTCATCAGAAGATGTATGCAAATGATTCAGAATTCTGTAAAAATGAAATTATCGTCATACTTGAGTAATTAATAGTATTATTTATCTTCAGAATGTCTTACTGATGTCTCATACGCTCTATGATATCTTGAGTTAGATTACTTGCAGTCCCAATAGAATGTGGATTACCATAAAGTGAATTCTGTAAATCAACAGCAATATTTTCTATTTGCAGATCAGAATACAATGTTGCTCCTGCATGATCCAAATAACATTCCTCTGAAAGATAAATGGCAGTATAAAAATGCAAATTATTGCACAAAGATTATCCTCTTGAATGTATGCCATACAGTTTGTGCAAAATTATGCACTTTGATTGTCACTTACCTTTAATTCTTGAAAAATTATTTTCGAGACTTTTTATGATTTCTTCATTATATACTTGCTTATACAATGGCATTGAATTTATCGTATTTTCCATTTCGGTTGTTTGATGATATGCAAAGTAACTGACAATAATCTACATCATGTGCGTGCACGAGAATAATGTTGAACACTGACAAGAGAGTATTGCAGTAATGATTACCTAATAAGAATTCTAAGTACTGTGTTTTAGTTTTCCAGATTTTAAGAATATAACGAAGAATTTCACGTAATCGCTCTATTGTCGACACTTAGCTCTTGTATTCAACTTTTAATTTCAACAGATAAATAGCTTGTACTATCTACATAATTACCATTTATAAAAGAAAAACTACGTAAAAAAAAATAAGGTATAACTAGAGCTAACTAGAACTAGAAAATTGAAGTAAATAAACAACAAATCGCTTATCGAATTTGATTTATTCTATTAAAAATTTTAAATGACAATTTCTCGATTTCAGTCATAGTTAATTGAATATTATATTATTAAGTTTAAAAGGCGATTGACAACAAATTGACAACGCACATTTAAACATATATGTATATATACGAACAGATTCACGTGCAGAATTATCATTGATTACATAATGTGATCGGTTACTAACATATCGTATAGTGTATATGGAACATAAAAGAGATGCAACAACATTTTATACAATAAATTCGTGTACAGACAGAAAGAGAGTAAGAATGTAATCAATTGACCGAAAAATGAGAAGAATTTGTATATTAAATTAAATAATTGCTCAATATCAAAAACGTTTAAAGATTGATTCTTCATGCGACGAGGTGGCCGAGTGGTTAAGGCGTTGGACTGCTAATCCAATGTGCTCTGCACGCGTGGGTTCGAATCCCATCCTCGTCGACTTTTCTGTTTTGTTACTTTTTTAAAATCTTTTTTAACAATTTTTTTCATAATACATTAATATATTTATATTATTGATATAGAAAATAAAAGAAATGTTTTTAATTATGATTTTAATTATAAGCAAAGAAATTTTTTGTATAAGAAAAATATAAATGACAGTCGCGACAAATAAATAAATTATCAATTAAATTATCTATTAAAAATTAATGGAAACGAAAGAAAATAATTCTGAAATAAAACCATATAAACCATCTTGGGGAAACGAAATTTCAAGACCGTCAGAATCACTTGAATTAATAAATAAAAATATTTTCCACGTTTCTCCTAGCAATTCTAAAGATTCTCAAACTATATCAAGTAATTTATCAGATAAATTAAATCTTAAATAATGTACACATTATTACGTTTTTTCTTATTATTTCAACGAAAGTTGCCACGGATTCAACAAAAAATTTATCACCGATAGAAGAATATCTTCAAGTAACTATGCGTCTTATCACGACTAAATCATTATCGCCCCGCACTTCTGTAATACTGGAGGATCTTTATGTCAAATACAAATTAAACAGGGGTTATAATTCAAATATTGATATAAATCGACAAGATTGGATAAAAGTCATTAAACATTACGATGAATATAAAGAAACATTTGCAGATCTGGAGAAAAATGGATCAAAAGAAAACTCATCAACGTCCAAAAAGGAACAGCTTGATACGGAATCTCGTACATTAAAGAAGACGAAGATTCTCATGGAAGATACTGAATCACCTTGGTTCACTTTGCAAACAGTCCAGGACTCTTTATTCGAACAACCTTGCGACTCAGAGATAATTCAGATCAACGATGTATTTTCTGATTTTTCTTTGGCCGATGCAGGTCACGATAAAACAATGAAAGAGCTCGTCAGACAATGGATGGCGAAAGAAGAGCAATTTTTGGTAATTGCTCCAGGTCAGAGTAAAAAAGTGCCAGATCCTGGCGGAGAGGAGGAAAGAACGCATAATAAAGATCGATGGAAAAAAGTAAGCGTAAATAACAGACTGCTTCTAATAGAGAAAAATTCTTTAACGACTTTCATTTTTTCTTTACCATTCTTAGATACGGAAAATGTAAGAGTAGTCGAACAAGTTTTGATAACAAAGAAATAGGAAGCTTATTTTTTTATGATTATGATATATTTTGATCGTGATTAAAATTTGAAATTACATCATGACAGTTCAATTCGAAATTGGCACTGTCACGCCTTTTAATTTCTAAACATCGAACTATTCGCTTGCGGGTCTACATCGGAATGGTCGATTTTATCTAACAATCTAACAGGATCACTAACACATGGATGAAAATTGTACAAAGCCAACCGGTGGACATGCATGGCTTTATATGTCAGTGCCACAATTTGGAGAAAGTGCGTCCTTGACAACTTGTACAATATCACGACCCATGTACCATATTACATAAACGAAAGGAAGGCCAGGATATAAAAAGAAAAAAAAAATTAAATATCTCATGTGACGTAGCAGCATTCTTTTATGTAATGCGGAATAAACCTGAAGTCGTGCAATCACGGCATGATGTGCAATTGACGTGAAGTTATTATGTGTTACATGTCATTGGTAATGTAACTTTTTTGCCTAATGAGCTGGATAAATATTCAACGAGATATCGAAAATTTCACCGACTTTAATTTCATTTTATAATGTAACAAAAACTCTTACAGAAGTTCTTTCCTTCTTAAAATTACATAAAAATATAATGCTTATAGAATTGGTGATCTTAATTGAATTTGATCCACACCCCACACGTTTGTTGGTCTCCGCCTTCAATCTGGCTATCCTTCACTACTTTCCTTCTTTCTTAATGATACCTTACAAAAAAAGTGCTATGGTACAGTTTCCCTCTCCCTTGTTCGGCCATACCCAATGCCATTCGAAACAGTGGCACCCCAAATTCGATCGATCTCCTTGCAATCTTCGCTGGATATAAATACTGCGCCAAGTTTCGAATTTTGTCAGAACATAGCGACTCCTTCAAAATGGTATTCAAGGTAAGCTTTGAACGTTCAGGTTACAGCGAGTCGTTGAAGGTCTAACACTTTAAGTACAGCGTAATAAAATATAAAGTTTCCATGAGAGAGAATTCTTATTAAAGTTACTGATCACATTCATTGGATGATGGAAAAATCTTTGTTGAAACAATTTATTGAGATAAATAATTTTTCTAAAAGTAGCTTTCGATTCGTTGGTCTCTTCTTTATTAAATTTTAGAGACTTCCGAAGAAACAGTTGTTAAAATCTTCAGCCAGACATAGTCGTTCCACATTGAGCGATTTTTACATCAAATAATAAGACAATTTTCTTGCAGTTCATAGTACTCGCAGCCTTGTTGGCAATAGCCAGTGCCGGTGGCCCAGCTGCCTATGACATTGCAACGGCGTCTGGTGATCTCAGCAGCATCGGTTTCAGTCAGGAATCTACACAGAAAGGTCTCGGTGGTCAGAACGTGATTTCTTCTTACACAAAGTCTGATGACTCGGCTCACTCCTTTGTCCGCGTGAGCAGTCATAGCATCAGCAATGATGCTCTCCTCAACTACGACATCAGCCATACTTACGCTGCCCCGTACAGTTATGCTACTGCAGCTCCTCTAATCGCCAAGACTGCGATCGCACCAGCTCCTCTAATCGCCAAGACCTATGCCGCTCCAGTCGCTGCTGCTCCTCTTCTGGCCAAGACTTATGCCGCTCCAGTCGCTGCTGCTCCTCTTCTGGCCAAGACTTATGCTGCACCTCTTTTGGCTAAGACTTATGCTGCTCCAGTCGCTGCTACTCCTCTTTTGGCTAAGACTTATGCTGCTCCAGTTGCTGCTGCTCCTCTTTTGGCCAAGACTTATGCTGCTCCAGTTGCTGCTGCTCCTCTTTTGGCCAAGACTTATGCTGCTCCAGTTGCTGCAGCTCCTCTTTTGGCCAAGACTTATGCTGCTCCAGTTGCTGCTGCTCCTCTTTTGGCCAAGACTTATGCTGCTCCAGTTGCTGCTGCTCCTCTTTTGGCCAAGACTTATGCAGCTCCGATCGCCGCTGCTGCTCCTCTGTCCTACGCTGCACCGGCTGCTCCTTTGTCCTATGCTGCATCAGCTGCTCCTTTGTCCTATGCTGCATCAGCTGCTCCTCTGTCTTATGCTGCACCGACTGCTCCTCTCCTCGCTAAGAGCTATGGATACACTTCCTACGTTCCAGCTCGTGGATTCGCTGCTGCCTCCATCGCTCCAGCTTCTCTTCACTCTTATGCCGCCTCCAAGGCCTACGGATACGAGCACATACCATTTTCACATAGCAGTTTTAGTGGTTTTGGTTCCAGCTATGCCTGGTAAACCTGTGATTCCATATGTTAACTTTTCAGTTTTTTTTTTTTTTTTTTGAGAATGTAGATCTTGGTCTTATTTTAATTGAGTCTTTGGGATCCTAAATCTTTTGAATGAAGTTTCGAAGGTTTGATGACTCCAAAGATTAGACATTTCTTTTTTTTAGTAAAATTTAAGTATATTACGACTATGTTTATGAATTTTATTGAAGATTGTGTTGTTTTTTGAAAATGATTAAGATGATCTATCAATAATTGAAGAAACTAGATTGAGACTTGTGGATAAAGGTTCTAACAATTTCATGTTATCAGGACAATAAAATTGGATTGTATATGTTTAAATGATTCGTAGTAAGATATGTGCGTAAGGTATGTGCATATAAACGATAATCATTTTATTTATATTATACATACTTTTGAGTCTGAAGAATTTTTCTACGTATTCGAATTGGCAAATAAATTTTCGTTTTTTTTTCTTTTATATAATGTTGTTAGTGTTGTTAATTTATTTTACCCCATTTCTCTAAAACAAAGATGACTGCACAATAATAATCGTAGTTTAATGTTGCCGCAGGTTATTTATAAAAAAATATCGGACAATTCCAATTTATTTTTCATTATTCCATTTAAAATAACAAATCTTCCACATCGATATTAATTTACGCTTCTGTAATAAATAAAATGACGTAATTTTAATTGAATGATAAATCTCTGGTTTATTTTTATTCAAACGTGAACTATAATCCATTAAATTTTTGTTGGGCTCAGTGCATTAGACTACAATAAATTGTTGTTTTTAATTAGACTACAATAAATTTACGTATAAAGACTACATATAAATTGCAAAATCCTGCTTGTTTTATAACCATTGTAAAATAGTATTTCTATAGAGAATGATAACAAAAGACCACAAAACAACAATGGAAGTGGAACGTGTTCAATCATCATTGTAGTTTATGAAAAGACTTTCTCTATCACGTATTAACTGTAAGACATCTCCATTTTAAAGCCTGCAGAACATTAGCATATAATGGATTGTCTTTTGACAATCAAGTTCCACGAATTGAAATTGAGGACAAATTTTATGGAATTCCACTTTTATAAAGCAATCGATTTCTACTTCTGGAAATTTCAATCCAAATTCCTCGAAAGGGACATGTTCTTTCAGCTTTCTATTCCTTAATGTATTGTATACGATTCTTCAATATAGATTTATTTAGGGTAAAATAAATAACTTTCGTGTTCGAAATCTATTTATTATGTTTTAGTGTAAAAATTTTATTTCATGAAATATTTGTCATCTTTTTTAAATATAAGCGCGCAATCAGATATACCACTCTATCTTATCGTGAAAATTTCTCTCTAGGAATTAAACTAGGGACTAGGGACAAGAACATATACAACCTGAAATATATATTTCCACATTGCTAAGAATTAAATATGTATACACGTGAATTTGAATTAAAAATTCACTGATTGTTTTCTAATTTAAGTTTATAAAAAAATGACGAAAATTAGAAAAGTGAAACGTAGGAAGAGATATCGTATGAATGTAAATCGTAAACGATTGCGAAATAAATTGCGAAAATTGCCGACAATAAATTGGTAAATATAACCAAAATCATCATCGTGATTCATTATTGACATACATAAATAAAATAAAATTTTATTTTTTATAGTTCTCAAATAAAGCAATCGTGGGAAGCAACAAAATCTACACGGACTAATTTGAACCAAATGGGATTAGCATATGATTCAAATGATGCTTTAAAGATACCCAATACAAAAAGAGAATTTATTAAAGAAGTATTAAAGAAAAAAGACGAGAATGATGAAGATAAATTAGAAACTGAAGAAGATGTTGAAATGATACCTCCAAAAGTATATGTGGCGCAAGAACTTGAAGCAGAAGCAAAGGCACCAAGAAGGAAAATGTTTAGGCTACCAAATAACCAAGTGTACTTTCTTACTTACTTAATGGATAAGTACGGAGAAGATTACAAGGTAATATTGTTTTACGCAGCAGTTTATTTCACACTCAAAATACTTCTTATTATTAAATGAATTATGGTACAGGCTATGGCACTAGATAGGAAGAATTACAATCAATTAACATGGAAACAAATACGTGCTAAAATTAAAGTATTTAAAGGCATCCCTGAGCAATACAATGAATATCTTCAAAACAAAAGCACATAATATTAATTAGTTTCTTATATTGTTTAACATAAGTATATTTCAATTTTAATACAAATTCGTATATAAAATATAGTAGTATAAAATAAATAAATTAATTAATATTGTTAATTAGGTAAGTACAAAAACATTAGACAACGCAAAACAATGCTTATTGTATAAAAAACATTCATATCATGTATGTTATATATAATACTGTACGTTACAAATGAATAAAATAGATTTTTATTTCTAAATGCAGTCTCTAAATCTTTATTTTGTATATCAGTTACAAAAATTAATATAGTATTGTGCATAATTAAAACAAAAAAAAAATCAGAGAAATAAATAAATAAATATCTATATGTATATTGAAGAAAACAGTATAAAAAGTATCATAAAAATTAAATGAGCGTAAACATATTATGCTGAGAAATATTTAAAAATTGCACACTTTTATTCATATTTCCTTTCTTAAAGCTCGAATTACTTTTTTCTTAAAAAGGTTCATTTTGGACAAACTGTAGTCATTCATTGAAAAATTGTACACAATATGCTGGCATATTGTTACTTCCTTCTTTTCTTTCTCTTAACCTTCTAGTTTTTCTTGCTTTTTCATATAAAATATTTTTTAACAAAACATGGGAGCAGATACATTATCTTTTGCCATATAGAATATTTTTTTTCTAACAGAATCCATGGATGCATGGTACCAAGTGTATTCAGTCGTTTCTGATGGCATTTCAGGAAGAGGTCTTGTCTGACATCCAATTATTTCTACTTTGTGCTTATGAGGAGAGATACTTAATAAATCTAATGCTTTCTTAACTTCCTCTGGTTTCAGAGCATTGGGACAATCCTAATATTTACATAAATATATTAGACGCAATAAATTCTAGAATAGCATTGTCAAAAACATTTACCTGTTTGTTAGCAATTATTAAAATTGGTACGTCATCCATTCTTGCATCACTTAACAATTGTTTCAGAATAGAAGCAGCGGAAGATAATTTTTTTATATCAGACGCATCTACTACAAATAATAACAAATCTGTGTCTTGTAAGAAAGCAGTCCAGTATTTTCTAGTAGCGTCTGAACCTCCAACTAATAATAAAACATTGAATAATTACATATTCGATCAATGTGATCATATTAAAAGCAAAAACCTGTAGAACAATAAGATTTACGTACTATCCCAAACATTGTAAAATAGGACCCCATTTTTTATTCTATATACAGAAGAACCCTCTGTTGGTTTCGAAGGGACGGTGTACGAAGTTTCATCGCCGTTCGCAACGCATATTTGGTTTATAATCGATGTTTTCCCAGCTCCATCTAAACCTAACAGGAGCACTCGTTTTTCGTGATTATCATCGATCTATAAAAACAAAGTAACGAGGCTTGTTATTGAATTTATATTCGGCGAATGAACGCGGATGGAACAGTATCAAGAAATCGGCTGCTTGAAACAATTAGGAATGGTCTCAAACAGAATTCTAACCTTAGACACCTCTTCAAAACCCTCGTCTATTGCCAGAAATTCTCGCTTTTTCCAATATCGGTATGCGATGTACGTGCCGATACACGTACAACTGATCCAAAAGATCTTCTGGCCGTTTTGAAATACATTTCGTATCATTATTCTCAAAATGTTTTATTCAATGGAAAGAACTGAGACAGAGCCGACTTTCTCGGCTTGGATTCCGCATGCACGTTTCGTTTCACGGTTTGTTGCCTCGCCACATGACATGCATCGTATCACATCATTCAAACGAAGTGCGCGTAATCGTAATTATTTGTAAAATGCGTTTATAATGTTATCTGCATTTAAGTGAATTTATAATGGTACACGATAAAATCCTTTCAAAAATGCCGACTCTTTTCCCCCCGTTTATTAATTTGGTACTACTGACGGGATAAAAAAGAAAGATGAGAACAGAAGCAATTTCCTCGCGATGATTTTTGTATTTTACATTTTGTACACACGTGAGTGACAAACGTACACATTGTAAAGTATAATTTAAAGGAGATGCGGTTATCGATTGTCCATCATTAGTTATGCGTGAACGAAATAACTGTATGTAAATTCAACTTGCGTTCCCGGCCGCAATCTATCCGACTCGATCGATGCGACCATACGTTCTTGACAGTTCTGACTCCAGTCGGTGATTTGTTTAGATTGTGGGTAGTATGTGACAAACTTTGTATATTTCGACGCAATATCGTTAAAACATTGCATCTAAATGTATTTATAAATTTATTTCTGTTTGACGAGTGTTTCGAAGTTATGAAGATAGAGGTTATGGTTAAGTCATTACCGTACAGGTTAAACATGGATCTTTCAAAGTGATTTTATTTGGAAGTAACAAAAAAAAAAAAAAAAAAAAAAAAAATGGATAACGTTGCAATGGCAGAGTGTTTAACTCTTGAATTTGGCCCTTTCGAAACTGTCCATCGCTGGCAACGTATGCCAGAATGCGACGAATTTGTTGGAGCCAGGTAATTTGGATTGATTTAATTTATCACTTGAATTGTGCATTATTTTCAATCTTTGTGATTTGAAACTTTTTTTAATAAACTTTTTTTAATTTCTCATAATGTACAATCAACAATTTTATTGCAGCATTTCAATAATAAGAATTATGTATCAGTGTTTCAGTTATATCCAGCATTTCCCAGTTTTTTGATTTACTTTAATTTTATTTCGAAGAGTTTATTTGTAATTGTTAATTAATTATTATAAATAAATGATAATGAATAATTTGTACAGTTTAATTATTACCAATATAATTCTTCTCTTTATAAATAAAGATAATATTAGTGACATACAATTTATAATAGACTAAGGTATTTTGTTATTACTTTTTGTTTTCATTTATTAAATGAAATTTACGTTGAAAACAATTTTGTTTTTGTACAGAAGTTCACTGTATTGTATTATACACAGGCGAAGCAAACATACTGTTGTAGCATACAAAGATGCAATCTATGTATTTGGTGGTGACAATGGTAAAAGAATGTTGGATGATTTATTGAGATTTGATGTGAAAGAAAAGTCTTGGGGACGTGCATTTGCAACAGGAACACCTCCTGCTCCAAGATATCATCATTCTGCAGTTGTGCATGACTCTTCTATGTTTGTATTTGGTGGTTACACCGGTGACATACATTCCAATTCGAATCTTACTAATAAAAATGATTTATTTGAGTACCGATTTCAAACTGGCCAATGGACAGAGTGGAAATTTATTGGGAAGTATGTTTCACTTGTTTCATTTAATTTTTTTCTTACTTTTTAGTAATTTTTAAAGCTATCTATTAAATTTTTCATACTTTTTAGTCATTTTTAAAGCTATCTATTAAATTTTTCATTTCTTTGTAGAACTCCTGTAGCTAGATCTGCACATGGAGCTGCTGTCTATGATAACAAGTTGTGGATATTTGCTGGTTATGATGGTAATGCAAGATTAAATGACATGTGGACAATATCATTATTAGTAAGTAATGCAATATATTTGAAACAGTGTGATAGATTATTGATCATTTTTTTTTATTATTTTAGCCTGGAGAACCAAGAGTATGGGAAGAGGTTGTTCAGTCTGGTGATTGTCCACCAACCTGTTGTAATTTTCCTGTTGCAGTAGCACGTGAATGCATGTTTGTATTTAGTGGCCAAAGTGGAGCTAAGATTACAAATAGTCTCTTTCAATTCCATTTTCAAGAAAAGCGGTAAGTTTATAGCTTTGTATTTCGAAGTTATATTGTATTTACTGAAATATATATCGCTAGATGGACGCGAATTTCAACGGAACATATACTTCGTGGTGCCCCGCCTCCGCCTGCGCGACGATATGGTCACACCATGGTCAGCTTTGATAGACATCTTTACGTGTTTGGTGGTGCAGCTGATTCTACGTTACCCAACGATCTTCATTGCTACGATCTCGATACGCAAACATGGAATATTATTTTACCATCGGCTGACAGCCAAGTTCCTTCTGGTCGATTGTTTCATGCAGCGGCAGTAATTGGGGAAGCGATGTTCATTTTCGGTGGAACAGTTGATAACAATGTCCGATCCGGAGAAACATATCGATTCCAATTTTCATCGTATCCAAAATGTACTTTGCACGATGATTTCGGAAGACTGTTGAACGGACGTCTTTTCTGTGATGTAGAATTTATAGTAGGTGATACAGAAGCCAAAATACCCGCTCACATAGCTATCGTAGCGGCTCGTTCACAGTTTCTTAGGACGCGCATTAGACAAGCTCGAGAAAAACGAGATAGTCATTTAGAAGAAGTATTTGGAACTGTGGATGTACCGATCAAAGATATGCCATTGTTAGAAGTAAGCAAATTTTTTAAATTAAAAAACTATTCATTTGATATCTGTTATAAAATGCCAATAATTTATTACGTTATTACTTCAGGTAAGACTGACAGATGCTGTACCAGAGGCATTTGAAATGGTTCTGAATTATATTTACACCGATCGCATCGATCCAACAAGAAGAAGCGAAGACGGATTAAATAATCGTGCTGAAGATCCATTAAGCAATCGAATCGTGCTTCTTATGATGGATGTTTATCGCTTAGCTTTGCAATTCAACATGAAACGATTAGAGCAGTTATGTGTCCAATATTTGAAGGCGACTATAAGCAACGCTAACGTTTTGAAAGCGTTGCATAATGCCGCTTCCTTAAATTTATATTTTATAAAGGAGTTCTGCTTAAGTTTTATCGTGAAGGAAATCAATTACAATCAGATTGTGATGAGCAAGGAATTCGAGACTTTAGATCAACCTTTGATGGTAGAAATTATCAGGAAAAGACAGATGCCTCAAAGAGGTGTATTTCTTAAACACTGTGATCTTATTACAGGTAAAAGTCGACGAGATAGTTCCCGAAATAATAATTTTTCCGATTTAAATTCATGTTTTATTGTAGGCTCGACATTGGAAGAGGATATGGAGGCATTTCTTAAAAGTGTTGGCAGAGAATTCTGTGATATAACGCTCATGTTAGATGGTGTGCCAATTCCGGCTCATAAGGCTATTCTTGCGGCACGGTGTGGCTATTTTGAGGGAATGTTCCGATCTTTTATGCCTGAAAATAATACAGTGAACGTGAGTTGCTTCTATATTTCTTTATTTATCGTTGTTAAATACATTCAATATGTACGATTTCTGCAGGTACAAATTGGTGAAATGGTTCCATCTTCCGAGTCATTCGACTCTTTGTTAAGGTACATTTATTACGCGGACGTTTCAATGCCGCCTGAAGACTCGTTATACTTATTTACCGCACCAGTTTTTTATGGTTTTACGAATAATCGATTACAAGCGTTTTGCAAGCAGAATCTCGAGATGAATGTCACGTTTGAAAACGTTATACAGATCTTAGAAGCTGCGGATAGAATGCAAGCTGTTGATATGAAGAAATATGCGTTGAATCTCATTGTGCATCATTTTCCGAAGGTATGTGTATTGTATACAGTAATTTTTATTTCGTAATGTAAAAGCTTTTTTTTTTTTTATCGTAAATGTAATCTTTCCTCGTTACAGGTTGCGAGGCTACCAAGATTAAAGCAATTAAGTCGCGAACTTTTATTGGATATTTTGGAAGCACTGGCTGATGAACGCAGCGAGGCACGAACATGCCAGGACATGGCGAATGATTGCTGACGGATCTCCAGCTCGCACCGTTGTTCCCATAGCTGGGATTTGCCTTCGCCCTCGAGCTTCCAAGTAAGTGTGCAATACAGCATTCTAACAACATTCAACATCTTTTACCTTCTGGGTTATGGATACATAGTAGACGAGTGTTTGAAAAATCTGAAACATCGTGCGCGTATGTAAATGCAGAAATTGAATCTAACTACCTAAACCAGCATCAAAGATTGTGATCTCTTTAGAGTATTTAATTTATTTGTGTATAAAGTATATGATTTGTTGAAAATCTCTTGTAAAAAAAAAACATTAAATAAAAAATTATTTGTTGCATCGCTTAAAATCACCCGTGTAACATTTACTTTATGCAACGAGTATGAAAGATGATTAATAAAAAGATTTCTTTCAGTTGTCAACTTGTTAATAGCACCTTTAAGAATTAATTGAAGATTTTGGTAGATACTAGACTTTTCAATGAAGGAGTATTAAGTATTGAATATTGGATATTAAATGAGACATGATTAATAAATTATGTACTATATTTTGACTTTGATCGTGAATGATCGTACATACACGCACAATCAATTTTTTTTAATGATAAATTTAACACTTTAAGCTTAATACAAGCTGCGCAAATTTTGGGAAGGGGAGGATTTGAAAGAAACATTATGTAAAGGAGCTCGTATAAAATCATTGCTCTTGTTTTCTTCCTACATATTGTTGTCTCTAGTTAGGTGACATTCGTCGACAGCCCGACACTTTAGTTCAGTCTCTTGAACAAAATATTGCGAAATAGAATTTGTACTTAAAGTAAACGTGTCTTTCGCTCTCGTTTCGTGCTTCTCATAATCGTGTTTCAATCGAAGCTTGTACGAGAGATTAATTTGATCTTTTTTTTTTCTCTCTACGTAAAGTGTGATTTTTCTCTACGTGTGTGTCCTTTTTTCTTTTCTAAATGTTCGTACCTGTTTTTTTTATATCGTTAATTCACAAAACTCGAACTCGTTTAGTTTAAAATTGTTGCTCTAAAGGCGTCTTATTCCAACTATTAATAGTCATCTAAACTTAAACCACGATAAATAGTTGTAATATTAATTATGCTAGGTAGGCCTTTTTTTTTGTTCGTCGCTTAGAATTCTAAATGAACTAGAGTAATATTGAAACATGGCCGTCTCAACCCGCCACAACGAGTTCATTACAAAATGAGATCTAAAAGTTACACAGCTAGAATCAAATTAGTTACAATGATACGGTCGTGGTACAAACTTCACGTTGATTTCGAATGGCCCCAATCTGAAAGTATAATTTAGCAATTTAGTATTTGACTTAATTTATTATTATTATCTTTTTTTATGTTCCTCGTCTCACAGAAATGATTGTGGAATATTCCGAGTACTCACCGATTATAAAATTGCTCGATTCATATTGTAGGCACAGGGAGTACGAGACGTTCACCTATTCAAGTTGAATCCATTCTCAATTGTTTGAACCCTTTTTTCTGATCCTGCATGAAAGTGTGTGCAGCACTTGCATACAGACAACAGAAAGTAACATCTTGTTTCTAAACACGACGTATCACGTACACCCTCATCAAATGCAGATGGTCCGTAGCAATTTATCTTTTCGGCAGCTTACTCTTGTATCCCAGTTCTAGTCATTTCTAAGAGAAAACAAGATGTGTGCATCTCCAAGCTCTTCGTTTTAGAAAAGAAAATCGAAACACAAGATGTTCTATAATGTTTTTCCTTTCAAATCGAAAATCTGGAACGTTCTTCTGCTCTACATAAAGTCAAAGGAAAAGGGGAAGCACATCGTGAATGTCTTCGTATTGATTTTCAGTATGCTTGCATCTTGTCATTAATGAGGCGTTAGCTGATGTGTGCAGTTTGTGTCGTTTGAATATTCACGAGATATACAGCGTGTTCCAAAAAAGTTTCGTTACTAAGAACAAGCTGATTTAGCCATTTTATATTTATAAAACACCTTGCTACTGAACTATTTTCTCTGACTACATATATATATATATAATATATATAATATGAAAGAAAATATAAAAAAGACCAATATTGCCTGTCAGATTGTAATCTTAGATGAAACAGTGAACCTTTTGCTCCGCGATGCTGCTGGTCGATGGCATTCGGTGCGAAGGTTCCAGCCTTCTTCTTCTCTCCTCGATGGCTTCCGCGTCTAGGTTCATGGTAGGCTGAATCGTCTGTGTCACAGACGTGCTTATGTGTCTCGTTTTAACGAGAGGTGGGTTTCGCGATTGAGGAATCGCGAACGCTCTTCTAAGCGCCCCTCTCGGGGGCGACGGTGGCGGATACGAGATACCTAATGGTATTTTTTTCAATTAACATCCTAACTTCATTCAATTTATTGTTTTTTTTTTTTTTTTTTT